TATCATATGTTGGAAGAAGCAATGATCCAAGCAATCGTCGATGGAGATATCCAATGCTTACAATCTATTGAATCTCTTCATCCTCCATTATCAGATCAAGTGGAAAATAGCTTGTTTATTCAATTGCAAGAAATACTTCGACTTTCTCTCAATATCATCCCGATTCAGTTACTACAATATGGTGCACCTTATCATCGCAATCAACTAGAAGAAATAATTAGACTATTACCTTATCTAAAGCGGTATAAATCAACCATGTATGACTTTGAAGATGTAGAAAGTATGATTTCCTTATTTACTATGCTAAATTATCGGCCATTTTGTGCTGAAAACATCGCCCAAAATTTACCCTTTTATCATCTGATCCAAGTCATTGTTAGTGCCAATGGATCCGATACTATCCAAGGAAATTATGATTCACTTTTCAGTTATGTTGTCTTTACTCGCTGCCGACCAATATGGAATGATTTACAATTACAAAATCGCTATAATCAAGTTACTACATGCTACTTGCAAGCAATTATTGATGCCAAAAGTGATGCCATAGCCGTCAATAAAGTCCGTACTGTTGATGGCAAGACTTTGCTGCATATGGCTGCTGAAAGTAATAACCCGCACTGGATTCAATGTTTATTAAGTATAGGAGCAGATCCTGCTGTCGAATTTGGTCCTGATCGTTTAATTGCCCTAAATTTAACTCAATGTAAAATATGCAAGGAGTTATTGGCTTCTACTAATTAGCATTCTAATTGGCAGGGCTGGAAGTGGAAATTGCCTTGACGAAGATAATAAGTTCAAAAAGTGGCGATTTCAAATCTATTTTTCAACATTTTAAGGCGTAAAGTGCTAAAGATTATAACACCCATTATAGAGTTATGGCTTTAATATTACAAAATAGTAATCCATATTGCTTGATTATGTCCTTTTATTTCTTTGGTAGTAACTCCAGTATACGTACTACAGATATAGTGTGTTATAGAAATCGGATGATATCACCCAAATACTCTACGATAATGGCATACAATCAATTTTAATCTCATCTCCTTTGCTTAGCACCTTGTCATCAAGTTATGCTCATTCTGTCAAGGAATCAATTGAGTATTTCATCACAGCTTCAACTTTACTCATACACAGTATGAAGCTGATACCAGATCATGATTAAGGAAAGCGATCGTCGAGTTTCATTTTCTTGGTTCTACTATGTGATTATAATCATCGTTAGTTCTTTATCATGTGAATACTATAATGTAATGGACATGAATGATAGAATATTAAAGTCTCGAGTGGATAGATTCTTACGTTAAGATATACTGATTAATTATCTAAGGAAAGGGTCAGGATGCTATTGATGATTCAGGTGTGATTATAGGTGAATTGATTGTGTAAATAGACCTAATAAAATATATTTCGGAACTACAGACAAGAGCCTGTGATTCTTTTGGGTTTAGAACACTTTGGATCCTCGTTGATAGTACACGCAAGGTTAATTAATTATTTAACTATCAGTATTCTAAAGTACGGTAATCAAGGTCCTTTCTAAAATTTAATCTAGACTTTGCTATTATTTTATAAGAATTAAATTCCTTTTCCACTAGATTGAATACTTTTATTCCCTAATATTAGAAGGATTATCGAATAAATTACGTATAAAACTTAATCTAGACTTGAACTATTATTCTGCGAGAATTAGATTACTTTTAGGTTAGATTGAGTACTTTTCATTCCCTTATGTTAGAGGGGCTATTGAGTAAATTATGTATAAAACTTATTCTAGACTTGCGCTTATATCTTATCAGAATTAGATTACTTTTAGATTAGATTGAATACCTTTTCATTCCATTACGCTAAAAGGGTTATAAAACACATTATGCTGTGATAATCTAAGCTATATTTGGGACTGCACTATATATACATAAAACTTAATCGAAACTTGGGCTGTTATTTTGCGCGGATTGATTTACTTTTGAATAAGATAGGATAATTAAATACTTTCATCCCCTTATGTTAGAAGGGTTATTGAACATATTGCGTTTAGAGACCGTTTTTAGTTTAGATATTTTTCTCAATCACCATCCTCTCCTGAACTATATATCGCGATCTAGGCAGGTTCATCATTATTGGAGGCTTATTAGATACAGTATTTTATGAAGCTAACGTAGTCACTCATAGGAAGTAACTTACATATTATTTAAATCTTTTATCAGGGTATTTATAATAAAAATTGTTCATCTTGAATCCATTAGCAGCTTTGAAGTGAAATTGTAATTCCATCTATCGTAATGAATGATTGTACAGTAGTTATATAGCCATATCGCTATAATAGAGTTATCGTACGCGAAAGAACTGAGAATGGATCATGTTCTTGAGTCTTAACGACTACAGCTTACACCTTATAGGTCTGTCACCAATAGGTATCGTGTCAATATGTATAAGCTATCGGCAGGTTTGGTTAATTCGTATGATTGGCCATAATATAAAATTCTGTGACCAAATTACCGGTAGAAATATGTTGGTATTCCTCGATCTTGAAAACTACCGTACTTATCAAGGTTGGCCCTCCGTGACAACTAAAAGCATTTTCACTCAAGTTACATAGCAGACACAATTTTAAACATCTAACTTCTTAATCGTAAGCGATGAAACATCAAGCTCGCTTTATTGTGTACTTTATATATTACTGTAAGCTTCGATATTCTAATGCTCCGTTACTGGTGTAAATAATCAATAAAATTATAGTCACACGTAGTACGAGGATGATGCATTTCATATATCGAAATTGCAAAGACTACTCATTACTTTAGGGCGCCTTATTCAATCATTTATAGAATCATAAGTATACGCTCTGATACAACAAACATACGGTAACTCATTTCATATCTCTAAAGTTATACATTAGCTACCGTATATAACCTAAAAAATTTAAGAATGCAAAGGCTGCCGTTGAACTGGCCTGAAAGCCTAATGATCAACTATTTAACAATCAGTGTAATAAAGCAAACTTTGATGGTGATCTAGCATCATGACGAGCTTATAGAAGATAGATTTGATGTTATTTAAGCCTTATAAGATATTATAGGTTAAATTCATTTGCTACATTGGAAATGAAAATGATGATATAAATATTATTATGCTATAGGATATTTCAGAATGCACTAATTTTTTCTTAACACAAGGCTATGGTGTAAAATCTTTCACTAATGGTCATTGTAACTTCTAGAAATACCTCTATCATAGCAGTTACTATGCTCAAAAGAACTAAGGAAGGATCAAAGCTCTTGTTGACGATGAACACTTGCATTGTATGTAGCTCATGCAAAGCGGTTCTCATATATTGAAGCTTTAGTAAAGAATATTTTTCTTTGAATAATATAATGTTTAATCTTAAATTCATAATTTGCATTGGAGGTGCATATTATGGATATTTACTGAGTAGAATATTACAGTATATCGATAGTATCAGATAAATAGATTTTCGAAGATTTTAATAAGATTCTTAGCAGATATTTGATGCACTTAACTCGACCAACTTTGGGGTTTGTTTACAACCAGATTATTCTAGTAAATAGGGTCGGAAAAGCCACAAGGCCTTCAAATTTAGACACTTTCAATTCTTTCTTACGCAATACCTCAAATATGCAGTCTTCGCTCTTTATAATGTTTTGTTTATGGCTAGCAAAAACCGTTGTTAGAATATTCATAGCTAAGAATGTTTTAAATGGTAAAGATTAGTCTTCGGTACATACTTATATTCTTTCAAGCCGAAATCTTCTCTATAACTTATTGAGAAGATTTCAATCAGTTGATATCGATTATCGAGATTAAATTTTCCCAGAATTAGAACAGGTTGACAATGACCAAAGCTATCGTTGTTTACTGTCAATAAATGAATTTTTTTTAGATTATGCAATAACATTGGAAAAATTCAAGCTGTTTATATAGTTACTAAGGAAACGATTTCAGTTTGTTCCTAAACTCAAGATGAAATTCGATTCATGGGTATCAATCTTAGAAAATGAGGAAAAATAAATTATGCAATCTTTTCAAACTGTCTTTAATCATCGATTGATGCTGAATTTTATTATCCTCGGGTTAGCCGCCAATTGAAAATGGAAAGATGCAAAATGAATCATGTCAAATTCAATTCAATTCAATACCATTCGAAGTAGATGAAACTCATAATGTTAAACCGATAGCAACTATTCAACTCCTATTGACGCCCTTGCTCTAGGAATATTGTTATCAACAATAACTGAGCGCTGTAATGGATAGACTATGATCCAACCTTTCGCATCTAATCTGACCGACTACGGCTAATCATCCCTTTACTTATGATTAACGAGAATAAACAAAATTCCTGGTCAATAAAAATTTAATAGTATTGAAAGTTATCCCGCAACAGTAATTAAGAATATCTGGTTGGTATTTATTAGCCATAATGATCTTGTAATTAATTTAAATTATTGGCTAAAATAGTATTATTTAAATTGAAATAGTACATTATGGTTAGTTACGATTACTCAATAAAGTAGTTGAATAGTACCATTACATTTTTAATTTGTTTATATTATCTGGTAGTGACGATAACATGCTGCCATAGCGCTGGAAATTGCTAATTCTTACCATGTATTTCCTACACATTAGATAATACTGCTAATATTATAATGGTCACTGTTTCTAGTCATTCATTCCACAATATCGCAATTTTTGACGTAACTACGATGACTCAATCCATTTCTATTTTAAATACTCTTGTCACAAATTACAAGGTGACTAAAAATATTTTGATAGTAAGCATGGTCTAATGGCAATCTATCCCATCTAAAAATTGGCTAACGTGACATTGTTGAGAGATGTAGGCTATCTCTTGGACTTCGTTGTTTACCTCAGGAAACATCAAAATAATGAAATTGGTCCACTAATCAAAAACAAAATATCCCTGGATACAGGCAAATTTGCTATTGTCTACATTTGTTTTGGGAATGATAAAATAGGATAGAAGCTCACCGATGCGGTTCCTTAAACAGAAGTCAATAATTTAGAGAGGTCCAAGATAATGAATTTAGTTGAATTCCTGTTCTTAATCAAAGATAGTTAAATTGAAATATTAGCTAAATAATGGATAAAATTTAATGAATTTATTTGTTAACAATTACGAGTGCAATATAGCAATCATTCATTTCACAGAATCCAGTTTTGTATACGTCCGTTGCTTCATTCTCGAAGCTCAAATCAATTTCGAGCTAGGCTATGGAGAAATTAAAAATATTTCAGCCTTTGGCTTTAATCATAAGACTACTTATCGACTCGATAAGTAGTCTTACTCAGTGCTATTGCACTGAGTAGCAATATTTTCTGTTATTTTTCAATTTATTGGAGTAAAACTTAGTCAGATCTACAAATTTACGCGTAAGACCTACAGAAGTTAAAAAATAATTTGTACTCTGACGTAGTTAAGAATTTCCATTAATTATAATGCATAAATTCAACATTATTGCGATTATAAATGCGATGAAACTTGGATTCTACAACCTTATTAAATTATTGAGATTATTTCCATTTATCAATTTGTGGATTAGACTTAACAAAGGGGAAGTTATACTCACCAGTGCCTGTCGTAATCTTGCTACCGTTGATTGCGTTACATCATAAAAAGTTGCATACCACAATGAGACAGATTTAAAAATTTTCCTCTATTGGTATTTAATGAATTAAGGTATCGATGCTGTAGATGATAATTTAGG